CAGACACACAGATGTAAGTCTGATATAAGGTCATGTAGACAGACACACATATATCAGTCTGATATAAGGTCATGTAGACAGACACACATATATCAGTCCGATATAAGGTCATGTAGACAGACACACAGTTGTCAGTCCTATATAACGTCATGTAGACAGAGACACTGATATCAGTCTGATGTAAGGTCATGTAGACAGACACACATATATCAGTCTGATATAAGGTAATGTAGAGAGACACACAGTTGTCAGTCCTATATAACGTCATGTAGACAGAGACACCGATATCAGTCTGATGTAAGGTCATGTAGACAGACACACAGATATCAGTCTGATGTAAGGTCACGTAGACAGACACACAGATATCAGTCTGATGTAAGGTCACGTAGACAGACACACATATATCAGTCCGATATAAGGTCATGTAGACAAACAGATAAAGATACCTTCAGACTTGACTCTATTAGGGTCTAGCCATGTGTGCATTATGTGCGTTTATATAGAGTAGCTAAGCATTGACCCAATTTAAGGGCCCCTTCCTTAGAAAGTCCCTCGAAACTCTGTATGGTTTGACTATCTCAAGCATTCATCGGAGCACAGACCGTATATATGTCAGGGATTTCAACATAGGAATGTCCCCTGTTTCTCCTAAATGCCATGGGTACAATGTGTGGAGCCTGGCGTCCGTGATATTGATTGAAAGCTAAAAGCGGCGTAAAACCATACTCACTCACCTAAGTTTCACACCCTCTAGTTAATGGCAATGAACATTAGCCTAATTCTGTTTAACCCATCACTATATATACAGTAGTTGTCTTAGGTTTCCTCTAAGGTAGCTTGATACAGTACAACCAGAAATTATTGAGAATTTAAAGATTGTAATTTTTTTTATTGTTTTCATTCATTACTCACGTATTAAATGTGAATATTAGCAGAACATAACTCCAGATTCAAAGACAGGTAAACAGTTAGTATTTTGTCAAGTCACCACAGGTAGCAATGCAGGCTTCAATGCGGCGGGGCATACTACTGATCAAAGAAGTTAGAAAGTCGTGGTCCATGCTGTCCCAATATCGGACCACCTCTTCTTTCATTTCAGCAATATTTGTCAGATTTTTCTTATTGACACTTTCCTTCATAAGTCCCCAAACATTTTCTATTGGATTTAGGTCCGGGTTATAGCTAAGCCAATCTAATAATGTCATATTTTGGGTCCGAAACATGGCCTGTGAATGCTTTGAACGATGTTTTGGGTCGTTGTCCTGCTGGAAAATCCCAAAATTTCCATAGAACAAGTGAGCAGTGAGATTATCCAGCCTTAAGTTTTCTAAACTCATTCGTTTGTTTTTAGAAACAAGAATACCAAGCCGCCTCCTGTCACCGACAGTCAATTTTCTGGGCCTACCTGCGCCTCCCTGGTGCTTAATGCCATATCCATTTGCAATATTTTTCAAAACACGATAAACAGTGGACAAAAGGATGCCTGTTCTACTTGAAATCACTGTAGCTGACCTGATGTCCTTGTTATAATACTCTAAAATCAACTTCCTCTTCTCTAAATCATCCATACTGACGATCACTGAAAATGTCGTCTGCTAGCAAGTAAACAAAGGGGATAACTCTTCACAAACTAATGAAATAGGATTAACGGAGTTGTCTCTCTTGAATGAAACCAAGCACTTGATAGCTGGTCTAGGTTGTTTATACTAGAAATCCAATTAAACATATTCCTAAAATTCTCAATAATTTCTGGTCATACTATAGCTTGATACATCCGTACGTTCGTAACACACATTCTCGCACTATCCCGACTTAATAGAATATATTCATAGAGCGCCAATTTAGACAGGCTCTCAACAATACTGCATCGACCAATGGATCACTTTGCACTCGAATTTCATTCCCAACTCTCCGGGGATCATTCAGCCCTGGCGCTAAATGGGTAACAGTAACTTCTGACAGCCGCTAGGTTGCTGTTCCACGGCTGCACAGAGTGATAAGCCCATGGATGGGGAGTAATTCTATCCTTTAAAGAGGCTGTACTGATGGCTAAGCCCATGGAAGTATAATAATTCTACCCTTTACAGAGGCAAGTCTAGATACGAGGACAGTACACGGCTGTACTGAATGCTAAGCCCATGGATGTATCCTAATTCTATCCTTCAAAAATGCAAGTCTGTTGAAGGGACAATGTGGTCGTTTTAATTCATATTCCTGTGGAAATTATCATTTAAAGTATTATTTAATACCTTAGACACGTGTGCAAGTTGGGCGGTGGAGTAGCCCAGTGGTTAAAACGTCCGCTCGTCACGCCCCACATGGGTATATTGTGTGAAGCTAATTTCTGAGATCAGCCGCCGTAATATTGCTGGAATAATGCTAAAAGCGGCGTAAAACCTAACTCACTCACTCACTCTTGCCTATGATCGGTATGGGCGCGACATTGTCATAGGCGTACTATTGGCTATGCAGTAGTTCGATTCGCAGGAATTATCGGCGGAAATAGTGAAATGAATCGGGTCCAGGTCGCCCGCTGGTCCCGAGCAATGCATGCATGTCCCCGTGAAGACCAGTTTTAGAAATAGTCTTCAGAAAACCAAGTTTGTAAGAGACGACAGGATCATGGTCAAACTCGTTGGCTGATGCATTTCCTCGTACCCCATTGCGTAGATCGATGCTCATGGTGTCAGTCACTGGATTGTCTGGTCCATACTCTGTAATTAACAGAAAAGCGTCATGTAGCAGGATTCGATTTAACAACAAACAAAAATTATGTGGATGCTGCCCTCGTCCAACTGATGAAGCACCCAGTTCTGACTGTACTGACCTGAACGGGGCAACGGCTGCACAGCCTCCATAATGACGACGACGTCTATGCTGTAGACTTGTGACATACTGGTTTAGTATCGCGTCACCTGTCGCCCAATCTCGATGGTAATAAACACAATTAGGCAATAAACATATATCTTCATGTCTGCTTGACGAGAAACCGACTTTTATTTGTCAAATTTACAAGAAAAATGGAATCTTTATGTAATGGACAGGTTCAATACGAGATCAATAAAATAGCCAATATGTGCGATTTCCTTATCTTCAACACCACAACATGCATCGAACAGAGTAAAACTGCAGATAACATCTTGATACCACGTCGTTATCCACAAATCACAGTCATGTCACAGGGTGGTACATTCTGTCCCGTTCACTATTGCGACACGCAGAAAAGGACGAGAAACCATTAACAAGCTATTGGTATGACTATAAACATAGGTTCATTTTCTATATCAGCCTGGTTACTTTAGGTTTGTTGCTTGTGTAATGCCACCTAACAATAATCGAATATCTGTAAGTAGTCGCGACCTGTGAAGATCCGGGGTAGAATAGGTCTTCAGCAACCCATGCTCGCCACAGAAAGCGACTATGCTTGTCGTAAGAGGCGGCTAACGGGATCGGGTGGTCAGGCTCGCTGACTTGGTTGACACATGTCATCGGTTCCCAATTGCGCAGATCGATGCTCAGGCTGTTGATCACTGGGTTGTCTGGCCCATACTCGATTATTTACAAACCACCACCATATAGCTGGAATATTGCTGAGTGTGGCGTAAAACTAAACTCACTCACTTGATTGGATATCATGTCTATTACAGTTCGATTGCATGTTATTGTCCATTTCAGTTTGATTGCATGTCATGTCTATTTCTGTTTGATTGGATGTAATGCTTACTTCAGTTTGACTTGATAGTGTGCCTGTTCTAATTTGATTGGATGTTGTGCCTATTGCAGTTTGATTGGATGTTGTGCCTGTTACAGTTTAATTATTTAAAAAAAAATTTTTTTATAAGTTTTATTTACAGTTACAGTTTAGTTTGATGTTATGCCTGTTTCTGTTGGATTGGTTTGATTGATGGGTACAATGTGTGAAGCCTATTTCAGTTTGATTGGATGTTATGTCTATTTCGGTTTGATTGGATGTTATGTCTTTTCCAGTTTGATTGGATGTTATGTCTATTTCAGTTTGATTGGATGTTATGCTTATTATAGTTTGATTGGATGTTATGTCTATTTCAGTTTGATTGGATGTTATGTCTTTTTCAGTTTGATTGGATGTTATGTCTATTGTCTATTTCAGTTTGATTGGATGTTATGTCTAATTCAGTTTGATTGGATGTTATGTCTATTTCAGTTTGATTGGATGTTATGTCTAATTCAGTTTGATTGGATGTTATGTCTATTTCAGTTTGATTGGATGTTATGTCTATTTCAGTTTGATTGGATGTTATGTCTATTTCAGTTTGATTGGATGTTATGTCTATTCCAGTTTGATTGGATGTTATGCTTATTACAGTTTGATAGGTTATGTGCTTGTTGCAATTGTTGTAGTTGTAGTTGTTTTGATTTCATTGGTTGTTGTGCTTTTTTCAATTTGTATCAGTCTGGTTTGCGCATAAAATATAAAATCAATCAATGGATTGGGTCTGACTGGACTATTTCCACACACACGCACACACACACATTCACAGAGGTAACTATTATTTGATAGAAAGGTGGGCAGTCAGTCAGTGAGAGATTGAAAGAGAGCTATGCTATTTTTCATCACATCAATTTGTAAAAGCGAAGGAGCTGCTTACTGACTCACAACGTCACCTAATATTCTGTGCACAGTAGATTTTGAATATATTCACAAAAGTGTTTAACTGAGAAGATCTTAAGTTCTGTGCACCCGCACACTTAAGTAATAGTCAGCAGCTTTATCATAAAGGTAAAGATACAAACAGTAGCTGTATCTAGTGCGCCGTAATGCATACACATAATGAACAATTCAAAAGCATATCTTATAAACCACCGCACTTCAGAAGGGACATACAAATATTAATTCGTATAGTAATATTCGGCATTTTATCACTGTACCATCAATGAGAATGGTGTCTGGAAGGTCGACGATACGGGTGACTGACCGCTGGGAGAGAGAGAGTTGGTGACACACTGAGACGATTCTGGGGATGAGATACTCCAGCTACTTCGCCATGGAAGAGAACACTGTCAACTCTGTTGGGATTCCTGGAAGTCTTGAAGCAGGAACGTTATGGACAACTGTAAGCGTGGGCGATGGGAGGGACTGTGACCCCAACAACGCTCAACTGAGGAGGGAGGTTGAAGGAGGAAAGGAGGAAGAAACGGAATCGGTCAAAGGAGGGAAGAGAAAACCAGTCGAAGATATCACTGAACATCCCGTTTTGAACCAAACCGTCAGGTAAACATCGCCTTTAACAATATCAAGTCTTTTGTCATAGTTTACTATATATGTACAATAAATCTATAATCACCCCTGCCACTGTGAGTCAATCAGAACATTCCCACCGATAAATGGGTGGATTTACTACAGAGACTAATATCTAAGCTCAATACAAATGGGGGCGGTGGGGTAGCCTAGTGGTTAAAGCGTTGGCTCGTCACGCCGAAGACCCGGATTTGAATCCCCACATGGGTACAATGTGTGAAGCCCATTTTTGATGTCCCCCGCCGTGATGTTTCTGGAATATTACTAAAAGCGACGTAAAACCAAACTCAGTCAGTCAGTCAATACAAATGACATCTGAATAGTACGTAGTAGTTTAACTAATACTAATAGGGTCATATTTTAGAAAGGCATTCCATTTTGTCAGATAGGTTGTTCGGTAAAACAATTTCCGGGAGACAATTTCTGAAAGGAATTCTGCAGAAAACAACTCAGCCAGACATTTCTGCAGAAATGCATTTCCCAGTTTGTGGGGAAGTTTTATGAATACATGTTGAGACGTCAACCAGTTCTAATCAGTGATTGTTCCAGTGTTTCCAGTGATTGTTCTTGCAGATTGAACCCTTATATATGGTCCTGCCTTTTCAATGAAGTTTTGTCTATCTTCACGTATGTTGATCTTCACGTATGTTGATCTTCACATTTGTTGATCTTCACGTATGTCGATTGATGTCAAACAGGTATATACCTAACCTACACTTACAATACCTCTGTAGTGGATTGGGATTCCATTCTTCCCTCTATGGGTACCCGGCGGGATAGGTCAAGACTACTGACCTTTCAGCGCCGCACAGGCAGATTGGGTTATGATGCCATGATGTTGCATACCCTTAGAGCATGCTAGTGCAACGTGGAGTTCATTGTTATTATCATCGGATAATAGGGATTGTTTGTTTGGTTTGTTGTTTTACGCCGCACTCAGCAACGTTCCAGCTATATGGCGGCGATCCCTAAATAATCAAGTCTGGATCAGACAAGGATACTACGGAGAAAACCTTGCTCCAAGGCTGTACTGAAGGCTTAGCCTATGGATGTATAATAATTCTCCTTTCAAGAGGCAAGTCTAGATAAGGGGACAGTACAAGGCTGTACTGATGGCTAAGCCCATATAAGTATAATAATTCTATCCTTTCAAGAGGCAAGTCTAGATACGAGGACAGTACAAGGCTGTACTGATGGCTAAGCCCATGGAAGTATAATAATTCTATCCTTTATAGAGGAAAGTCTAGATAAGGGGAGAGTACTCTAAGGATGCCATTCTGTTATATATATATTGTTTAAGAAATTTCATTTAAACTATCAATTATGACTTTAGAGACTACAAGTCTACTATCGAGATCAAGAGACGACATCTCACTATCGTCCTCAGTATTGCCGCGATAAACCGATAGCACCTAACGATAAAAGCGATAATTGAGGCGAAATACCGATACCAAGACACAATAAAAGCAAGGCGTCGAGACGAGAGAAAGATAGCACGAGACGAGAACGCGATATCTAGCGACAGAACACTTTCCCGTCACGTGTTATCCGCTTATACTGCGTATTCTGCCTCATGTGCAAGGTAGCACAAACAATGCGAGCAGTCGCTGCTGATATGGAAATATGAATGCTCTCAAATATACTAGACAATGTGTAATGTTGAAGCATGTAACTTGCCGACGGTCGCGGGACATAGCATTAGAAAGCCTTATATAGGAGCAATTAATTTTGCGAAAATTCGCAAGTAACCCGCTGACGAACTTAGAGTGAACCTTTAAGTGAAAGAAAACTTTAGGGATTATTATATTGAAGTACATGCGGATTTTGCTCATTTACTACTCTACAACCAACCTAACACGTGCGTGCATGCAAACGAGACACCCCATCAAGAAAAGTATTTTCTTTTCTTACAACTTTGCGAAAACTAAATTTTCAGTTAAGAGTTCAGCAATAGTCCAGCTCTATGACGGCCTTCTGTGAGTAATAGAATCTGGACCAGACGACTCTGTGACTGACATCACGTGCATCGATCTTCGCAACAGGGATTTGCAATCACCTAATCGATCTACGCAACAGGGATATGCAGTCACGTAATCGATGTACGCAACAGGGATATGCAATAACCTAATGGATCTACGCAACAGGGATATGCAGTCACCTAATGGATCTACGCAACAGGGATATGCAGTCACGTAATCGATCTACGCAACAGGGATATGCAGACACGTAATCGATTTACGCAACAAGGATATGCAGTCACCTAATGGATCTACGCAACAGGGATATGCAGTCACGTAATCGATCTACGCAACAGGGATATGCAGACACCTAATGGATCTACGCAACAGGGATATGCAGTCACCTAATCGATCTACGCAACAGGGATATGCAGTCACGTAATCGATCTACGCAACAGGGATATGCAGTCACCTAATCGATTTACGCAACAGGGATATGCAGTCACGTAATCGATCTACGCAACAGGGATATGCAGACACCTAATCGATCTACGCAACAAGGATATGCAATCACCTAATCGATCTACGCAACAGGGATATGCAGTCACCTAATCGATCTACGCAACAGGGATATGCAGTCACGTAATCGATCTACGCAACAGGGATATGCAGACACCTAATCGATCTACGCAACAAGGATATGCAGATACCTAATCGATCTACGCAGCAAGGATATGCAATCATCTAATCGATCTACGCAACAGGGATATGCAGTCACCTAATCGATCTACGCAACAGGGATATGCAGTCACCTAATGGATCTACGCAACAGGGATATGCAGACACCTAATCGATCTACGCAACAAGGATATGCAGATACCTAATCGATCTACGCAGCAAGGATATGCAATCATCTAATGGATCTACGCAACAGGGATATGCAGTCACCTAATCGATCTACGCAACAGGGATATGCAGTCACCTAATCGATCTACGCAACAGGGATATGCAGACACCTAATCGATCTACGCAACAGGGATATGCAGTCACGTAATCGATCTACGCAACAGGGATATGCAGTCACCTAATCGATCTACGCAACAGGGATATGCAGTCACCTAATCGATCTACGCAACAGGGATATGCAATCACCTAATCGATCTAAGCAACAGGGATATGCAATCACCTAATCGATCTACGCAACATAGATATGCAGACACCTAATCGATCTACCCCGATTGCCAGATGCCGGTTGTCGTCGACATGTCATGGTTGCAGAAAGCCATATCTAAATCGTTTCTTCATACGGGTCAAGAATGGTTTTCCATTTTTCCATTTCTTATTCGGGACCTGTTATGCCTTTTACTTCCCAGAAATGATTTTTAACATCTCTGACCTTCTGTCTTGCAATTGGCAGAATTTATGGCATCTATGGTCATACAAGACAAATCTTATAGATAACAACTTCTATATCTGTTTACCACGATGTTTCTGGTCTAATGGTGACACGTGGTCCTGGGTATAGAGCTCAGGTCACAAATCAGGTGAAGTTAAGCCATGTTGGGTGCGGAGAGTCCTTGGATGGGTGACAGCTTGACTCCTATGAGTTTCTAGGACTACAGTCCTGCTCCACAACGAAACACATGTCACACGTGTGGTCGTACCTTAGGCATGTGAGTTTGTTCAAAATTGTCTCTGTCCAACCAACAGAAAATGGGTACCCTATGTATATTTTTGCATACAAACGCTGTATTATGTATTGGTAGAAACTGTTAAATATGCCTTCTATACGTCTCCCTAAGAAATGTTACAATTTATTACTGTTAGATGCTCCAAATGGTAAAATTAACTGGACATCAAAATTAAAAAACTTATTGTATACAATGGGTTTTGGATACGTATGGGAAAATCAATTTATTCCTAATATAAACCTTTTTATTTCTGAATTCATATCTAGAGCCCAAAACACATATTTACAGGAATGGCATTCCTCGTTGTCTAGTGGCTCAAAAACTTACTTATATTCTCAATTTAGATTTATTTTTGGTGTTGAGCCATATCTCCATTGCATAACTATAAAGAAATTTCGTATTGCCTTAGCGAGGTTCAGGTGTAGTTCACACCAACTGAATATAGAAACTGGTAGATATATAAAGAAACCCAAAAACTCAAGATTGTGAAATGTGTTCCTGTAACTATGTAGAAAATGAGTACCACTTTTTACTGATTTGTACTGCCTATGATGATCTACGTAAACGTTTTATTCCTGTCGATGTTTTCACCCATCCAACCTTGTGTAAATTTAATCGACTGATGAGTAATGCTACTCTTCTTGTGTTAAGAAATCTTTCCATGTTTATCTTCTATGCTAACAATCGTCGTCGCTACAGCTTAAAGGCTGCCAATGTATAACGTTGTACCATGGGCCGATGGCCTACATCTACATGAATAAAGACTAAACTAAACTAAAACTAAGTCACTATCCCTTCTAGCGCCTAACAGGCAGGTTGGGTTATCCGGTGTAATAATACTCAGATTGTTTGTTCGCTTCGAGCATGCATTGTGCATGGGACGTATGATAATGCAATTATGCAATGTGTGTGATAAATGTACTATTATTATAGTTCTTAAGTTGATTGACTCAAGGAGTTTTCTTTCGCGCCCGTCACTGACGTTGGAAGCCAGGATTTCAGTGTGTTGCCAGTTGATAGAGTGGTTTGGAATGTTAACAATGTGTTCTGAGAGGGCAGATTTGAGATCAGATTTCTCAACTGACGTTTTATGTTCTTTTAGTCTTATGTTGAAGGGCGGACAAGTTTCTCCAATATAGCTGCTTCCGCAATCACGACAAATTTTGTAGATGCATCCTCTGGGATCAGCCTGGCTGTTGCCTCTTCCGTTCGCTCTCAGGATGGTTTTCAAGGTCTTCCCACATCAACACTGGAAGTGTTTCTAAGAAGTCGGCTGATGGGATTGCTAATCTGGCCTGGGTAGGGAATGTTGACTTGGATAGGG